GGCGGACGACACGAAGCGTTTAAAAATAACAGCACTTCCGCTGCAATGTCGTGAGCATTTTGGAGTCATGGCTTCCAGCGGGTGCTTCGGGCGATATGGTTCAGATGCCGGGCAAAATGCTGGTATTCTTGCAGGCAGGAAAGCCGGAAAGCCTTTACGCAGATTTTGACGTACATTCCAACAGAACCCTCGACGTGACGATTCTGCAACGTTCGTTTTTGCTAGCGTTCGATATCTTGCACATCTTGCACGGTTAAAACACGCCCACGACCAGAACCCTGTTAATGACACGGCAAGATTCGCGCTGGCTGCCATTCGATAGCTCGCACGTCATAGCCTTCCGACCCATTCCGTTGCAAATACAGTGGGGTGAACGGCTCCTTGCACCTCCCATTTTCCTGCAAGAGCAGCAGGGTGAAGGCGGCCTAGCCTTGTTCTACCTCCCAGTTTGGTGCAAAAGCGGCTGGTGGAAGGCAGCACGGCCTTGCTTCACCTCCCTTTGTTGTCAAAAGCAACTGGGTGAAACAAACCCGGCCTTCTTTCACCTCGAATTTTGTTGCAGAAGCAGCTGGGTGAAGGAAGCCCGGCATGCACGGCCTTCTTTCAATTCACATTTAGTTGCCAAATCATCGGCGCCAGCCTCCCTGCCACTCCTACAGTCCATTCTGCATTAAGTGTGTCTACCCGAAGCTAGTCGAGCTGCTCCGCTATTCTGCTGGCGCTACGGCGACGACATTTGTTGTTGGCAGCTAACTTGCTCCCGTCCGGCTTCTTAGACTGCCAGCTGCTCTTTCGCTGTTCGGGGTCTATGCTGGCATGATTATTATCAGAGCAGGCCGGCACAGTGATGCAGCAGTCGCACCGAGCTCAACGAAAAAGACTAGGCGTAACAGTTAAAAACATGCATCAAGCCGAGGCACAAAAGATAGCGGACAGGAACTGTAGCAAAAACATGCTAAGGGTAGCTCCAATATTACCACCACCAGAATACAGGAAAACATTAGCAGCAACAGCAGCACAGAGAACAAAAAAGATGCAACAAACAGATTGACAGCTGTAGCCTAAGCTGCAGTGCCTTCCTTAGCAACGAGTAGAGACGCAAAATCATCGAGGGGACAATTTCCACAGCAACAACCCTCAGCAAAGAAAGAGAGCTGAAACACTGGCGCTTGTAGAAGTGTTGAGCATGGTCGCAGAGGAAACCCGGCCATAGTTATCCTCGTCATCCGGTACAAATGTTAAGTGGAAGAAGTCACACCCATAAAGGCTGGCATCTTGCCCACAGGAGCACGTATCATAGTTTTGAAATAAGGGAGTGGTGCAAGTCATTGTTCTTCTCGTTACAAAAGCAAGAGCACCAACCGCAAGTTGCAAACCAGAAACTACGAAGGAAGAGAGCAATCACAAGACAGAATGGCAAGCCTCATGTTACAGTGTGGGCCACAGCAGAGTCGTTAACACTTCAGAGGGTACGCTTTGAAATGCATGACGAATCAGCACTGAAGTTCGACTCTTGCTTGATCGTCATCGTGCCGCCCAGCACCAATTCGGACAACACTTGTCCAGGCCTCGTAATGTCCTTGAGCTGCCCAACCTTCGCCTCCAGGTCTTCGATGGCCTCATCGTTTTGGCGCTCCATCATTTCCCTGTCCGGACAGCACTCCGAACGCCCATCCCATCCTCTTCAAAGTGTGCAAGGCCTGGAGGTGGCAGCGTAGGTGTCATCCTTGGGCTTCTGAGCCCCACCCTTGCCTGCTTGCGCAGTCGACAGTGGCGACAGCAGCCAACACCGAGCTCCCATCCACCCCAGAGGACCACTACTAAAACCCATGGTACGACAACACGACGATCTGGGACTCCCAAGCGGCCTTGAAATCGGCTGCCAAAAAGGGCCGCGCGCTGATCTACCTGACGAGGGCTAGGAGGTAGCCCGAGGTAAACAAGTTCAGGACCTGTTTCAGAAAGATGAACGCTGACAGAGGCAGAGGTGAACACAGTCGAGCATGTTTCTCCGTCACCTGGACCAAAGCTTCAGCGAGATTTAGCATAGGAGACTTGACAGAGCTTGGCTCAGCTCAACTTGTCAGGGCCACATCAACATCTCTTGGACTCCAGGGTCGAATTTCAGGAAGGTCTATGGGTGAAGTCATCACGCGTCTGCTCTGTCGGGTCGACGGGGCCAAAAAACTTGAGTTGGGGCCTTGGCACTGGCCCTCAATCACTAACTCCCGCACTGGCCCAAACCGGACTTTGTGCCAAGAAGTCAATACGCGATCAGCTCCGGGCGCGGCTGCCAAGACCCCACTGCCCTAAGGGGCAGGCAGACAATCACCGGGTGGCTCCCGAATTGTGCCGCGAATTGGTGCAGTTTGTAGTCTCAGGCTTCAAGGCTAAAGTTGGAGCCTTTAGGGTCTCGGCCTGGGGTGCGGCAACGTGGGCACTTGGGGTCGCGCACACGTAGCTAAGGCTATTAAGCTGTGGTTCTTGTCTAAGCTCCAATGCTTGGTTGGGCTCAAATCGCCCTGAGGCGTCGCTGTGCGCGGCCGCGGTTCAGGATCTAGTGCAGGAACCTGGCTGGGCTGCAGACTGACTCTTGGTGTTTGTGAACTTTGTGACTCCATGCTTCTGGCTTCCGTTTCGATGCTGGGGCTTGCGGAACAATGCATATATAGTCCGCAGAGACATTCTACCCAACCATCGGATAAATGCAAGCTGCAGCGGGTACTCGCAGCTGCCAGATTCGGCTGTGGCATCTTTGTACTTCTGTGCATGCCTGTTGTTGCTTGAGCTCTTGAGGCTAGACCAGCGGACCAGGCTTCAGAGGGCGAAATCAATGACGGTCTAGCAACAGCAACGACGACGTCGACGTCGACAACAACAACAACAACAACAA